TCGGCAAGCGTTTATAACGCCTACTCAGATTCACACTTGGACGACGTCGTAGCCATCTCTACACACCCAAAAAATCTTGAAGAACGTACATGAGATAGAGGATTGGATTGTGACAGAAGACTCAAAAAGAAATAGAGGTGCCCGTGGGATTCGATGACATCCATACAGCGGCGCCGTTAGAAACAGCTATCAACGAAAAACGGGTTCCCATCTGATTTCTGCCGCGCAAAAATTCATCAGTCATCACTTCCTTCTGACAATCTGTTCTATGGCCAAGTCACCTTCGGCTCTAATTTGAGATGGTCCGTCTATAAGAGTTTTCCAAAGAACCCAGCTCTTTCTACGGTTGTGATAGATTTAGACCAGGTTTGTCACTCTAGTTCAAGAGAACTTATATAATTTACGTGTACTTTTTCATGGGTTTTGTTCCAAAGCTGAGTATTAGGATATGAGCAGTGGAGGTATCGACATGAATAGGATGGTCGGTCCAAATAATCTAGAGGGGTCATAAAAATATATACATGTCCCGTAAACTTATGGTACTTGGGTGTTACCCAGTGATAACTGTAATTGTCGGTAAAAGGATTATAGTTGGGCGTTATGAATTGTTCTATGTAATTGCGGTGTTCAGGATGTCGTCAGGACTCTGACAGGGATCTGATTTAGCTCATTAGCGAGGCGCTTGGAGTAGAGGAAGAAAGGGGTCACAGAAGGAAAAAGAAGAGACATCGTTTTATGTATTTCGAGATACTAGTTAATTGACATTATTCACCGACTTCGTGAAGGACAGCTGACTTCGTGACAGCACCCAATTTGTATTACTTCGTGTTTTACCAACAGTAATCTTTTGTGATATTCTGCCTGCTACACAGTTTCTATCTTGATAGATAGGACGTTTGATTCTTAGCAGAAAATATAGTCAGGTTCAACAGGCTTGACTAAGCTGCATAGCTGTCCTGTGCGAATCAATATAAACTAGACCCCACATTTATAATCAGATGTGATGATAGCACTATATTCAGAGTGGTCTAGGTCAGAGTGAAGTGATACTACTACCTGTTCTTAGATCTAAATGTACCATCTCCAGCCGGGTCATTTCCGAGACGATATTACCCATTGCTAATCCTCCAAATTAATTTACAGCTGGGATTTCCTTGTATTTACCGTGGGTTGCAACTGATTTGCGATGAAATCAATGGTCGGGGCCTAGCAAGCCAAGTTCGCAGACCATCAGAGAGCCATTATACTATGATATCTCCGACTGCGGTAGGCTGAGGAGCAGGATGTTGACCATGTTGGCAACAAGTTTCAGCTTGTGGATCATCACGGCGTCTGTAGGACAAAGCTTTTTCAATTAGTAGGAGTCGAAGATGATGAACATCGTCCTTCTTCTCGCCCTTCCGAAAACGGTGTAGAGCTATGTAACACGTCCAATGTTTGTGCGAGGCGCATGTTCTCACCAAGCCGAAGTCGTGACACCGTGCGCACGACGAACAATGAGACTGATGCTACGATGTGTTTTCCGCCCATAACACCACGCCGGCTCGAAGATTCTATCATATGAATAGTGGAGGTCTGTGAGATGAAGAAGCAGATCCATTGGCTCGACGTGGGGCAGCAATTGTGACACCACGATGAGCAAGAAATTGACATCATCACATTGTGTCTTCCTACAAGGAAATCCGATAGAAAGCCTTGTCTTCAGCAACTTGTCAGGGCTCTTCGCACATCCCCAATGATCAACGCCATAGTGTTTGTAGTTGGAGGCAAAATTTGAGTCAGCTTATTGCCTTCAACTCAGACAGACAGTAAACCCTCTTTTTCTCTAAAAGTGTATTTTCAGGCCTCCAGGAAACCTCATGACCACTTGACCAGGAGACCCATTCATGCACGGAGGGTGCTACTAGCTCGCAAATATCACGTGAAGGCCGAGATTAGTAGCCTAAGCGAGCATAGTAAGCTACCCGGCCTTACGATGAGCGCAGACGCCTCCGTAACAGAGATAAGTTCTCTACGGCCCCTTCTGAGGCTAAAGCAATGATGAACAAAAATCGCCTCCGTCACTGAGTCACCGTGTAAGAATTGATGCGTTGCATCAAGGTCTAACAAAATCTGTATCAAAGTTATTTACAAGCCGTGCACAGCTTATTGAGATCCGGATCACGCAAATTCTTCTGATACGTTTCTAGTTACATGGTAAATTTTCTGGGCCGTTCGTAAGTGGCGAGGATCCTCATGGTTATAGGTTCTCATAAGTTGGCCAAAAAAGACTGTGCAATGGAATTATTAGACTTGCTACGTAATAGCCGTCTCGTTGCCCCTCACCGATCTCAGCTTGCGCTCGATGCTCTGACCAAAAAAATTAAAAATCACCTAGAGACTAATTTACTACCCAATCATAAGACTCAAGCTGTATCGTGATACTTGTAATTTCGTCTCGTCGCTAACACCCCGGCGGGCAAAATATGTAGTCTACACCACTGCTGTGGAAGATTCCCGTGCTGAGACCAATTAGTTGGTTGGAAAGCGAGAACCTATTGGAATCTTGCAAAAAGAATTCGATACAACTTTCAGTGCTCTTCACAAAGTGAGGTATCTATTTAATTGATCTACAGAAAATGACATATCACGAATACTGCATCAATTATTCAGAAATAATATATATCTCGCGTTGATACACTCTTTGTTTAGAGCACTTCTTGTCCTACAAGTGCCGTAGAAATACACCCTGATGTCAGAACTGTTCATGAGTAGGAATTTCTTATTCCTAGTCATCTTACAAAAGATTTATTAGTAAATCTGTACTTATAGTCTGCTTCCAAATAATTAATTGGTTTATCAAAAGATACACAAACAGTGGTGATCAGTCGATTGAGATACTGTTCGTTATGAGGGTAGATGTGTGTCAGAGAGTATTCAATTAAATTAAAATAGCTATTTTAGTCAGATTTCCAACGTACGACATTGTTTTGGCTTAACTTGATATTTAATATTCATATTAAGCCTTAGACCTCCCGTGATGCGTAGGTCTTTCATACCTGCAGGCTTTAGTCTTTTCACCTCTTTCATAGCCTCTATCCAGCGGCTATAGCTCTACAAACCCTCATAAAGATACACACCAAGAGGACCAATAGCTCAGTCCATATCTACCCCCTGTTACCAGTCAAGTGAATGCTTTCCGCGGGTGTGGAATCGGCAGGAAAAATTTCCAAAAGCTGCTGGGTGCAGGGCTCCCTTAACAATGACATCAAGGCCGTGTCTAAAAAAATTACAGTCAATTTGAAGGATAGAGAAAGATCTCGTAGTCGAGTCCGACTATGTATTATACACCAAAGGGCGTTATCTCTTATTATCCCCCTTGACTTCTCCAATTTTATGCCATAGAACGCATCAAAATACGTGGATTAATGCCACGGGAGTCTTGATGGAGAGCTATGATCGTGATGAAGCCTAGCCCAGCATATAATAGCATTACCCAAATGAAGTTCCAAAGCACTATATTCAATATAGAAGTCCTTCTGAGCAGGCAGGTCGCATATTAGAATTTAAAGAGTCTTTATTTTAACAATTCCAATGTTGTGTTTCTTAAGAAGTAGATTTTCTTTTACCCTGCTTTTGCGTGCCTTTTCCGTCTCCCAGTTGAAAGTACATGTTGTAATATGACGACAATTTCTCCAGCTACTTCTGTAGCATTTAGTACCACGTTATCCCGTCAAGTTTAAGTGTGATTTTGGTAGTTTTAAGCATCTTATAATATATATTTAGTGTCTTCGTAAGGAAGCAGGGAATAACTCAGCTCGACTCTCAAAAGGTTTGATACTCATTCTCGGCTGCGTAGACTCTACAATTAGAGTAGAAGGTTCGTGGGGGGCACCATTAATAGTCATTGAGTTTCCGATCCCTTCGGTGTCCCATTTCCTAACTTCAAAATTGTGGGGTTAATGGAATTTGATTCTGTTTCGCGATAATGTGAAGGTGCCTTTTTTTCAATTGACTTTTTTTTTGGTATTCATTAAATCAAGCCTTTCTTCGAGATATGGAGTAGTAGTGATAATTTTAGTATGTTTAAGAAACTACAGCTAACAAATTTAAACATTTATGATTCATGACCCTTTGTACTAGGACTTGAGAGATCTAAATACGTTGGCTAATGAGCTTGCCGAGCACGCATCTGTCAGATGCCGAGATAGTCCAACTACTTGATATGTTTCCTATGCAATAAATCTTCAATTCATATTATTGCACTTCAGAAAAAAATTTCTTGAGCATTGCACTCAGAAAGTGTGCAGCTCGCAGCGAATAGCTGTCATCTCCATTAATGTTTTGTTTTTCATTGTATTAAAAGAGAAAACATGTGAATATAGAACTGTTAAAATAGTTCTATTTGAAGACAATAGCTTATTAGTCACAATTAATTTGTAAATTGCAATTTTAATCTCCTTTTTTCCTAATCTGAAGATTGATTACTGAATGTTTTCCGACCATTTGGCTACTCCTGTGACAGCTTATAACCATTGAGATATTTGTACCGACAGATGATGTGAACCATATCCACATCACACGGTGATTTATGTATAATGCTGTGACGGTTACTATTAATCGAATAATTATACTCTCGCCCAATTGGCCGACCGTGTATCATTTTCACATAGATTTCGAGTATTTAAGTGTGAAAACGCTAGGTTCACTCTCCCACCTCGCTAAACGCCGTCTTAAAAAATGTTTTATATACATGCCACCTACCTATGTGGTAATCTGCTGTGCAAAGGACTCTTGAGCCAGTCTACACTGGAGTATAATACAGGACACACATGTCTTAATCGATATTAGCTATAATTTTGTATTCACCACCGATATTTTCCTTTGAAAAGAGAGCAATTTCTCGAATCCACAATGAACGCCCAAAATTTCTTCCGAGTAGTCTGGAGATAAATGAATCTCGACTATCATTAAACTGGTCATGTATTCGTATGTAAAACAAGATGAACATGTTTCTGGGACTAGTCGTCTTCATCCGGATTAGTTGCACGTAGTATCGGTCCTCGCTGACCTCCGTGGACCCTCCTCGAGTAGTCTAAGTCATCGCGAAGAGTATTGATGCTTTCCCTACTCTTGTTGTCGTCGATACGATAGACAGGAGCGAATGGATCTAGCCTAGGGTCGACAGGAATCAACCTGCTTTTTCGATGCCCAGTTTCGTCTTTAGATTCCCATGTTTCTACAACTCGACGACCGTCCGTACCTAGAACGTATCTTGAATTTTCACTCATAGTTCTGGAAGCAATGTGTCCACCGAGTTCAGCACTACTCCCACGTCGGTCCCCAATGCTGCTCAAATCTTCAACTCCACGCTCTTTTCGCTTTCTCAAGCAGAAATATGTAATGGAACAAATCGTGGCGACTAAAGCTACCAGCCCAGCTGTTAGGCCTACAGCGGCACCAGTACTTAGGCCTCTACTACCATCGTTATGATAAGCAGGCTCGCTAGCTTGAGAAGTTGGTGGAGGTAGGGGGATAATTGTCACTGTAGACCCTGAGCCACTAATAGTTCGGACTGATGTAACCGGCGTTGGAGTTAGAGATGTTATCGATGTCGTGATTATTGAAGTACTGGTGGCCTAGTGCATATTATTAGCCAGATTTCAACATTTTTGCCATCATGTAATGTGTGCTGTCTACCACATGAAGCTACATTGAGGAAATAGCATACTATCGTCAGGGAACTTGAGGAGCTATGGGGGATTGTGTTGACACTAGAAACTGAGGAACTAATTTTAGGGATCCCCGGAACAACCTCTGTTTGGGTGGTAGTAATTGGGATCGCAGTCACAGTTACCTATTCATCGAGAAAGTCAAAAAAATTCCAGATTGAGCAGGGCCTTTGTTAAGGGTGATCCTTCAGATTAAATATTTTGGGGAATAAATTGTAAAATAGAAGTGCAACTTCACTTACCTGAGGGGGTGGAGCCGTAGTAGAGGTTTGTTCAACTGAACTACTACCTATTGTTCCGGATGGAGATACGTGACCAAGCGCTATATAGCCATAGAGACCGACCCCACCACATTGTTCGAATGGATACCCGGGGCAATTCACCGTACAACCGTCCGTTGTAGTAGCTGGTATAAAATTTGAGCACCAACAATCCTGATTCTGTAGTACCGCGAATGCATAATCTTTCTGACAGAAGTTCGTACATAATCCATTTGATTGGTAAACACTGTTATCTGCAGTCGATTAGTGAAGATGCGAGGACGTGGTTTTAGATAACATACTGCTGGGTTCATTTGAGGTGTTAATCTCAGAGCAGTATGCTGTAGCTGCGGCAGAAACTTCTCGATAAAGGAAAACGATTATAAACAGAGTGATTGTAAGCCTATGACAGCAACTGGTGCGAGAATACATTATATTGTGCGAGCCTGGCATCTAGTAGTCCCGGGGAGGTGTGGACAAATTTGATGATCAAGTTGAGCAAGCCAATTCGCCCGTATCGCCTAAATAGATTATGTGCTGGATTTGAGGCCTCAATGGCCTCAATTCGAGTGACGAAAGCGCTGGTATACACACACAATATGACGGTTGAAATGAATTAATACGAATATCCTAGTAGATCTCCAACGTCAGCTTGTAGATGTTACATTACGGTATGCACAGCCATATCACTTGGCCTCGTCGTAATTGTTAGACTTAACGTCAGTGAGATGTAGTCAGCGGACTGCAACGAGTATTGCGATCGGTGAAATTAACAGTGTCAGGATAGGAATTGACACGAGTATTCAGAAAGCTGCTTTTGACAGGCTAAAGGTTGTAGCCTTGATGCTCCACTGTTGGGAAAGGAAGGAATACCATAGATCAAGAATTTGAGTGTGATGTGAAGGAGTGGTTCTTGTGCCGACGGATGCCAAGTACGGGCGAGCACTAACTTGTCAATGGGTACAACCCCGTTTGTGAACCTCTACCGTTCCTCTCCCGAGAATTAAAATGGAAAACGAATTTAATGAGTGATATAAATAATACAATGAAAACCTGAAGTTTGTAGGCTTCAACGAAATTTTGGATATTGATTTAGAAGCGCAAGTCGCTAGCTCTTTAGCTAATGATGAGACTGCACCAATTAATTCGACTAGTCATTTACAGGGTAAAGGTTGGTTGTTTGCTTAGCCCATGGGCAACGCACAACATAGTCGGAGGAACAATTTGCACAATTCACAGACTTAAAGTAAATGTGGGGATAATATGGATTGGCTACAATTATCCAACTCTTTTGAATATCAACTTAAACATACTTGTGCATGCTCAAAAATTAAGAATCGGCTCCAATTTAAGGTTCCGCGTTCTAGATGTGTGCTCTAGCCCAAACAGAAAGCGACGAAAACTTCTAGGTGCAACAATCCGCCTTGGAAGTTGAAGGGGTTTCAAGTGAATTTGAGAAGTTGAACTTGTGGCATAGAGATCATCAAAGAAAAGAGAAAGGGAACACATCAATCTGATTTCCCACAATTCACTGGTGACGTCGATCTGATCTCGCGGTTTGGGTCTTTCAAAATATTGCCATCCCACCACCCGCCGGCCCTTCCATCCGCAAGCATCCCTGATCGCCGTGGCGATTGCATATCCCTACTTGACTTATCAAGTCTAAGGAGCAACTTTACCCCCTTCAACAACCCAAGAACCTCTGCACCATCTATATTTTCCTCCTCATGGGCTTCATAGAAAATAATCTCTGTCGCGGACCCTATCTGATATTGACGGTCTTGGTTAATGATCGAATGTAATTATTTTTATCAATCTGCGGAACTCTTAAATATAAATGTTGGGACGTGATAGTATGGCATATCCATGAGACCTGTGAGTAGGTCAGGGCTCAAGTATAACATTTGATACCAAGTAATCGTTCGAAAAGAAACTATTCAGGCCAAGGCAACCACCGTTTTGACATGAAGGCAGTCTATCCACCACACGGCTGCCGAAATTTGACTTGGCAGATGCAGCGAGGGAACGAGGATCATTGCTGCGTAGCGCTCAAGCTCTTCCCCAAACGTCAGACACATCTCACCTCCTCTAAGGAGGTCTCTAAGACTAGTTAAGATCGCCATCGCCTTCTACTCTCTCATTAGTCAATATGTCGTAATAATACATATCTACCCTGATCCGCCGCGTCGGCCAATGAACGATTTTGATGGTGAAGCACGCACATCAATCATTGTCACCTTGAAATTATCTTTCTAGCAATATTCAGCACGTGTCTGCAATCACAACATCCCAGAAATAACAACGTTCGTACAGTAATTCTAATTTGAAGCAAAAGTTATCTTCAATCTTAATTGTAAGCAGGAGTAACTGTCGATTGCAGCCGTCGTAAAATGACGCGCTGCTACACTAATTGGAGGTCGTTACCAGCTGTTAGTGTGGTATCAACACTTTAAACTATCCTTAATATCAGCTTGACGACATGCGGATTGTAGAAACGCTTTTGGGTGTAAATCCGCTGCAAATAAGTACAGCTGAGGTTTCTACAGTCTAACATTAAACCCTTCCGAAAATCTTCTTCACAAAGAGCTTCATAATAGATGAGCAACTTCCCCTGGTGACTTCGCGTGCCTGGAGTAGCCAGTAGTAATGGGCAGCGATAGAAATAGTGGCCGAACGACCGACAAGGATAAGGCTGCTAGTAGCAAGGGATAATCCTCGTTTATAAAGGTTGATTCCGCAATACCTTAGTCCGTTTACTTACCCCAGCAATTTTCATAAATATCGTTTCTGGTCACACTACAGATGGATTCGATTGCGGAGGAGATTTCAAGATTAAGCTAACTTTTCTTCTATTACAGACCTTCTGAAGCGTGCCCATTCAGTCGCAGGTGTTCAGCTCAGTTATAGGTGAGGATCTTGTAACCTGAGGCTTGGATCCAGATGAAATGAAGACGGCATGCGGGTGAAAGAACCACTATACCAGAAATGGAGAATCAGTGGGGGGTCAAGGCTCAACACCTGCCATCGGTGTCCCCTACAAAGCTCCAGCTCTCAGCCTAGAGCCTGCAGTGCTAAATTTGAGTCCAAAAACTAGCCAGGAGGGCTTCTATAGACAGAGGATCTCTAGCGCTCCTCGCTATCCGAAACGACAAAATGTATGTGATATAATTTACCTTACAATGCCAATGCTCTGGCAAGACCTTTTTGGCATTTCAACTCAACCTCGGATTAGACAATAGGCGCTCGTATTTGAAGGAGTTGAAAGGAAGCTGAAATGGGAGATTATGATTCTGTTGGGTACACACAAATCTGTATTACCCAGCTGGCCGGTCTCTTGGAAAGCTGCGTAAAGATAGCTCTGTCTCTGGACTTGATTATATTGTTTTTATTTGGAGAGTCTCGTATTCAGTAGTTTTAACAAGTCATCTCGGCTGCTTTAAACCGCAAATAGTCTTCGCCTAGTTGGTTATAGGAGAGGCATGCTGAAGAGCTAAAAGCTCTTCAGTTTATTCAAGAGAACCGAATTTTGAGAGATCCCATTTGGAGATGTCCTGGTAGGAGGCAAGGGGAGGGATAAACCACTCACACAGGTACCCTTAGTCTGTAGGCAGAGGACCAAAATATAAAAAAGATGGCTTTTACAGAAGACTGCGCCAGATTTGTGAATTATGGTTCTATACACAACTACACTAGCGGGTGGCCAAGTCCTACATAGTTGTAAACTCAAACAGGACATATGTTGATAAATAAAATAAATAAATAGCGGATGGCCAATTCCTAGCCCACGAAAAAACTAATGATCGCAGAAAATGCGCAAGGGATCGTGAAGACGAGCACTCTTTTCTATTGTTTTATGTATTATCAAGTGTCGGAATGATACATCTAGATGAAGTTATTTAGAGTCGGAGGTTGTTGCATTGCATTGGCTAGTTCTCTTGATTTGTGGATTCTGACATTCGGATAAAGCTTTATCCGGATGAAGGCTAGATAGCAATTGCATAGCATCAACTCCGAAGAACACGAATGAACAATGAATGCGCATTTCTTCTGAACGATAGTTCGAAATATTTACACGAGTACTCTCATAACTTTAAGTGAACTAATAGACTTTTAGTCATCAACATCAGGTATTTAGTTAAAGTATGTCATCAATGTCTCATGTACATAATCAAAAATTATTTTGATCGCAAAGACATTTACATTTTAAATCTAGCTTATAAATGTGTACGTGAGGCAGGGCTGAACACGCAATAATATCGACCCTCATTTGCGAGTACCCGACAAAGGATTATTCCAAAACCTCTACTTGTCCCAGCACATCTTCATTGTCTATGCGCACAAGCATAATGAGAGACGTAGTCGAGTCTCGGTAGATCCGAGTCACCGACCTTCAGTTTCAATTGGAACAGTTGTCAAAGCTATCCGGGCACTACACGAGAGATCATCCTTGATGATGATGAACCACCACATCATACAATAGCAACTATTCTTGTAGCATTAGTTGAACACCCGCAAAAGGGTTGATGGAGCGCAGAGTGCGCTAGGAGTGATAGTTCTTTCCTAAAAGCAAATAACCACTTGTTTCTGGCCTCTAATCATTATTGGCACCATTTGGTCTACATATCTTCATACCCCTTTCAACTTCCAAAATATGTGCCTCACCAGATTTATCTGCCATAGTTTATATCCTTCTTCAGCTTTTTTCGTTATCGCGGACGTATATTTAGAGGCTAGCTGAGGCCAAAGAGTGAGCTGACTGGAGGCATTCTTTTTGAATTCGGGATGTCCTACGTAGTAATTTTGGGCTGAATTCCTCTATCAAGGAAGGGGACTATTCTCAATACCTGTCAGTGGTGTCCCCTACGAACCTTCAGCTCTCACTGCAGAGTCTGCACAGCCGAGATTGAGCAATAAAGTCCTCACTTCGACGAGGATTCCCAATCGCTTTCGCGGTCTTTATCGTCTTCATCTCCCAACATATTCCCCTATCACCATTATCATGAAGCAAACCACGATCAGATCAGATGATAGGGTCGTAGCCCTACTCATCACAAACTCATGATCATGGAGGAGAAGCCATCCGATGAGTTTCCGGAGCGTACTCAGCACCCGATACGAAGATGGCGGATTGGATCAAGTCGACCTCGACTGTTACAAAGAAGGGAGACATAGATTGATATGCGCACCTCATGTGGTCCCAGTGTCTAGGCCTCACCTGGCTGGGGCTGCAGGTTTTCTTAGACTTTTTTCCGCGCACGCAGTTTCCATTGCTACCATTTTTTTTGGGTAGAAGGTTCCGTGGAAAAGGTGGCTGAGTTCCACGGGTAAATACTGAGCTGAATGGCTATTCATCAAGGGCAATAAATCAATGATCTTTCAAGTAACATGAGAGAAAAGGAGCACTGTGCAAGGTGTGGCCTGGGTCAGAGAGGAGCCTAATGTGATAGATAGTCTATGACTCCAATAGTATGATAAACAAAACACACAAACAACAACACAATTTTTTTTGAGGACGAAGGCTGAACACCTGTCAGTGGTGTCCTCTACGAACCTAGGGGTGAAATATTCTCCCAGAGCCGAGATTCAGTCACGACAAAGGGTGATATTGAGAGTTTTCGTCGAGTTGGCGATCGGGAGGAGTGGTGTTGGCTCATTTTTGGTCGAAAATCCGATTCGCAGAGATTTCACGACTGCAAAACTCAACGAAATCAACCATCTAAACCCCAGATACGAACCACAGACAGCCTATAACCTGTCAGATGTTCGTATTACAAAAACCGACACCTTCAACATCTCATTTTCTATTTCTCTGGAAAATCACTCCTAGCCAAACTCATCTTGCGGCCCTCTCAACAATCATCTCACCACCTACCAAAACAATCCCATACCTCCAAAAGCCAAATCGCTAACTACAAAGCAAGAGGATGTCCCAACCTCCGCAACTGCCAGTCGCTGTGGAGGTACGGTCGAAATACCGGCCTTAGACGCGTCATTACCTCGGCCAAGGGCACCAAAAACTCGACCTGCGACGAATCGCCACCGACGAAATACGTACATTTCGCCTGCACACCAACTAGAGCGTTCGAAAAAGGCTGAGGCACCGGTGCCTCGGTCTTGAGCTCTCAGTTGCGTTTTCGACCTCCACGGTTAGGGGTACGGCAGCGAAGGGGCAAGGCCGGAGAGGTGGACATTCTACAAAGTTTCGGAGATGACGAGATCGGCTGAAGGATAGAGGGATGCTGTATGAAGGAACTAAAAGGGAATACAAACTGAGGAGGCCTTGGCAATAGCACTGGGCTATCGACAACAAAGGCAACCCGCCCGCCCAAAATCAAAGGGAGCCAATACGAGGACAGCGTCCGACACACGACTGTTTCTACGCCTCTTCCACGACCACCCCCACCGACTCCAGTCACCAGCTGGTATAAGATCAGCTGTCTCAGAGGCGTTCGGTACCGCAGCCAACAATATCACGTTTGTTCAGCGGGTAAATATAGGCTTTACACTAACAGCAAAAGATGAAAAAGTTCGGACAGAGCTCCTGGATTCCTCAGCAGCATGGGGGGAATCTGAAATTAATCTGGAATCAGCGTCAAATCTGGTTGCCCTACAAATTGCCACCGTCCCAGTAAGAATTAACACCCTCACAGGTTCCGGTTTCATTACGGAAAAGATGGTCGCTGACGAAGTCACGCGAGTGACCAAATCGGTTCCTTTTCTTGTTCATCCTTATGGGGCCTGCAAACCTAGAGCGCCATACTAGAGCTGGAAAGCGCTTTTCCCTCGCAAATCCACGCCTCGACCTGGATTTTGCCTCTTCGATGACTCTGGAGCTGCAAAGCTCTTCCAAACTCGTCGAAAAATAGTTCAGTGCAAACGATGTCTTGGCTTCCATGCCTCTCGTGGTTGCTCCCGCGCTCCGACTTGCTGGAACTACGGATCAAAAATGCACTCGGTAGCGGAGTGAATAGCCCCCACACGGTGTCGTAGCTGTGGGGGACCTCATCGATCGGATTCGCGGTTCTGCAAAGCCAGACCCAGGAAGTTCGGCCCGGTGAAAAAAGAGCAGCTTGCAGTAATTCGATAAGTCGAGCAAGGGAGGTTTCAGAAGCAGCCCGAGCAAGAGCTGCAGCCAAAAGGGTAGAGGAGACGATTATCGCCTCGAACAAGGACGTCTCCATGGCGGAGGTATCGGGCTTCGGAGTTCTGGAGTCCGAAGAAGAAGTCTGAGGAGACAGCGACCTCGATATGGCTCTATAAGCGATTATTAACCAATAGCAGGATACCGGCCGTATCAATGGTACCCGCTAACCCATCTCTTGCTCTCAGCAGAGATCAGAAAAGTTGTCATCTGGAAGGTGTGACGGGCGAAGGAATGTGTGAGGAGTGCATTATTTGGACTCAATGTGGAGGAATCTTCTGACTTTAGGGGTGTTCTCATGCTCTTTTTTTATTTTTTATTCTTGCTTTCAGTTTTGTCATAATCTGCTGCAAAATTGGTAGCGATTCACGCGGCAAAATGTAGATAATTATTACCTCCAAAGCCTCCCCCAAATCAGTGGCAGCTAACCTGCAAGCTACTAATACACGGAGCAGAGTACGTTTAATTGCTGGATAGACAGTATTTGAACAACCCCTTACCAAATAAACTGTGGCAAAGTGAACACATTCAGAGCTCCAAGCTCCAAGCCCCAGGAAACACAAGTACCTTAGCCTAGAATCCTACCCTTTCTGTGACAAGATCGATGTGTGAAAGTACTTCAATTAATCCTTAGAATATGAAGCTGAAGAGAGAAGAAAAAGACTATAAAAGGCGGGGGATCTGCCCTAAATTATATACAAAGAATGTGGGTAATATGATTGAATTGGCGGAGAATATAGAGATGTAGCGGGTTACGTAATGTGGTTATGTAACTAGAACTAGTAGCGCGGTGGTCATGTTTTTACGCGTCGTAGATGGAAAACAATAGAGTACTTGCGACCTCCCACAGCTCCGAACCCCAACGTATTTCTGGTGACCTACGCAGGGAACTCTGGAGTGGTAGTGTACATAGTTCGTAAGCAACGAAATTAGATAACTCCCACTTTTCTACACGCTATAGAACGAATATTCGTGACAAACATCTTGAAGACTTGAGGCGAGATTCCGGGAATAACCTGCAATATACCATCGAATTGTCAATTGAATCACTTGACTCACGGAAACACAGTCATTCTTCTCCTAGAGAATTAGCGATCATAACTTCCTCCTTTGGTGCAGAATATCATCCTTTGCAAAAACTCTTCATCAGCATAGTACGGTTTACGAAATTAGGAACACATCTTCGCACAACTCAGATCAATCCTTGGACCGTCATTTCGCACAATTAACTAACAGCATATAGGACTCCTGTTTGAGATAAACCATACGAAATCTGAGAGTCGACAGTTTTTATTTTTTCTCTCATTTTTTTGGTCCTTTCTATTCGTCCTGGCCAACTTTCGAAGGACACGCTCATTGAAGATTGATAGCTTTGATAGCTCTTCGGAATCATCTCAGGATTTCTATGTCGGTACATGTTGGAGTTTGGAGTCTTTAATCATATGATGTAATGTTTACGTAATTAGAAATACTTAATATAACTTCTTTCATAGCTTAGGTAGAAGAAGAACAACCAATTGCGATACAGTCATCGACAGTCCTGTATTTGGAACCCCGGTGATTCCAACACTAATTAGTGATATCACAAATTAGGAGACCGGAATTAATCAGATCAATCAATAGTGAACTAGGTATCGCACCTCTTTCATGGTGACGGATTAGGAAGAAAGATTCTTGCCTCAGTTAGTATACATTCGAAGAGTTGAAGTTCAAGGTATCGCACTCTGTACTTCATCTATGATCAATCAATCTACGTAAGTTCACAAAGCGACATCGACCTGTTCTAAGCATCCAAAATACTCAAGATGTCTGACAACAAATCCACTGGATCTGCCCTTATTAACACTGAAGACCCATCATATCTGAAAATCAATTTGAGCCTAGCTTCCTCCGAAGACCTTAGACACTACGCCAGTACCAAATTTCAGTTTTACACCGACGAGGACGCGTTTGATGACGATCTCTACAGCCTATTCCATTACGACTTCGCCGGCTGGCAATCCTCTCACTTCGAACATTGCGGACTCCGTCTTGCCCAAAAGTCAAGAAAGCTCCTTCGTCAAGGTGATATCTACATGCCGAAATCAAAATCGGACGAAGTGTTTAACGACTTGGCACACGCCCTGAAGTTTGATTTTGAACAATGGACAGAAGACCAAATACTGAATGCCTTACAAGAAGATTCAGCATTTTCATTCACATCGCCAAACATATCATGCAAAATTAATTCCAATCCTGATCTCTACAAAATCGCATACTATAACCGTCAAAAGAAGATCACAAATATCCCACCTCTGCCATCAACTAGCATCAGCAACACGACAACTTCAGCATTCGCTCCTCCTAATAGCAAATACCCTCAACCAAACCCTGTCCAGAATTCATTCACAAACATGCCTCAACCTCCGAGACCAGACACAACTCCTACTAACAACAAGGCCACTTCTTTTCATCAATACAGTGATACCAATGATATTAGCCGCCAACTTCAAAACCTGTCAAGATCCTTCACCGATGAAATAAAGTACGCAGGTATGAATGATAGTTTAGATTACAAAGTTTCAATCTTCTATGAGCTCTGTGGCCGAAATGGAATAACGCAGGAGTATTATACTGAAGCGTTCTAACAATGCTCAAAGGAATAGCAGCCGACTTCTACTATTCAAATCTTAGCCGTTTACCCCCTACCTTCGAGGGCCTATATCAAATGATGAAAACAAACTTTGAAGGTGACTAGTACCATCAGCGCATCTTGAACAAATGGAACTTGCTCACTTTACAAAATTTAATTCAACAAAATCCCCAGCATGACACCATCACCTGTATGGAAATGTTGGCTCAATCTTTACGAACCCTACAACACAGTCTAGACCCCGAGTTTCAAACGGATAAATTTATACGATTCAAAATGATTGCTGCATGTAAAAATGTATCTGCTTGCGAACATGCATGCCTCACCTCATCCCCAACTTTTTCCGGATTTCTCAATTGTCTACGATCATCTATCACATTGTATGACGAAATTCATCCTAAATCCTCAACAGGGGTCTTCTACACAGACCGTCAATTCCACAGGAATGATCCTCAAGGGATCACGCCTCGTGAAAACTCACGGGGTCGCAGCAACACCAGATACCACAACAACAATCGCTACCCTTCTAAATTCAAATATCCCTCCAGACACCGATCACCAAGCTCCTCCAAATCATGCATTGTCTGCAACAAAGAAGGCTGTTTGTCCAACAAACACTCAAAAGCTGAGCGTGAAGAAGCCTTTCAGCACCTTCAAAACCAAAAGAATAAGTATAACAAAAGATACACCCAATTTGTTGCTGATTGTGGTCAGTCTGAAACAGCCATCCCCGAATCGATTCATCTAAGCCAACTCATATCCGACCTCGACCTCCCTGACTCCGAGGAATTCAACGAAGTTTATTTCACCAGGCTCGGGCCTATCAACGGAAAGAAATACCTCACGGAACTCAATAAAAAAGCCTCCCTCTACGCCTTCACCAGTTCTACTAGCAACTTCTAAACCAGAAATCCCATAATCTGCTACAGTGATCGTGAATTTTTCGGCATCATGATTGATACCGGTGCTGCCAAGAAATCCACTGTCAGACACGGCCAATTCTTAGCCTTTCAGAAGATCACCAACATTCAACTCGACACTACAACCGCCGGAGCTGCGAAAATCTAATTTGGCATAGGGAACACAACTTCAATTAGCTCCGTGGTTATTGACGCTCCCTTTGGCTCGGTTGAATTCCACGTTCTTAATGCTGACACACCCTTTCTACTCAGCATCGCCGACATGGACCTTCATGGCGTCTATTTGGATAATATCGACAACGTACTCGTCTCCACAACTTGTAGATTCCCTGTGACTCGTCGATTTGGACACCCGTTTCTCCTCTGCAAAATACGCCTACCTTCAACAACTTACGAACTCGGCCAAGATTGCTTCCTTACATATACTGAGCTGCGCCGACTCCATCGCCGCTTTGGGCATCCAGCTGCCCATTACCTCCAACGACTGCTAGAGCGATCTGGTCACGATGATGTTAACTATGAAGAAATCCGAAAATTAACTCGCTTCTGCAAACAGTGTCAAAAGTTTGGAAAATCTCCCGGCCGATTTGAATTCAAACTTCGTGACGAGATAAACTTCAACCATGCAATTCTTATTGATATCATGTATATTGATAATAATCCAATCCTGCATATTGTTGACGAAAGCACCAGGTATCAAGCTGCTCAATGGCTTTGTAACATGACCTCCGAGCACATATGGGATACGCTATGCTACGCATGAATAAATACATATCAAGCACCTCCAGATTATGTGATTACCGATGCCGGAAAGAATCTTGTCAGTAAAAACTTTGTCCAAAGTGCAGCCAACATGGCAATAAGGACAAAAGCCGTGCCAGTCGAGGCCCATTGGTCAATCGGAATAGTCGAACGTTACCACCATGTTTTGCGACGGGCATATGAAACGATAACTCATCATATTTCCGGCACAAACCTAAACAAAAACATGCTACTTCAAGTGGCAGTCAAGGCAATCAATGATACAGCTGGACCAGATGGTCTTGTTCCTACTCTTTTAGTGTACGGGACCTTTCCAAAAATGACCGAGCTAGATCCCCCGGCCCCTTCCGTAACATGGCGAGCAACGGCTATACGTAAAGCCACGGAAGAAATCGACAAGCTTCGCACTAACCGACAAATAAAAGAAGCTCTAAGCTCTCGCAATGGTCCATCAACAGTGGCGATTCACGACCTACCATTCAACTTAGATGTCCTTGTCTGGCGAGAAGGCAACGTTAACAAGAACGGCAGGTGGACTGGCCCCTTTCCACTTCTTAGCATCAACGGCGAAACTTGCTCAGTACATCTCCCCAGTGGTCCTACTGATTTCCGCAGTACAGTCGTCAAATTATTCCTAATTGACGACGCTCCAGAAGAACCTAACTTACCTGATGCGACCTTACAGAATCCAGAAGCTCCTCCATCTACCTCTCCAATTTTGCCACGTCCTGCAATACCTCCACCCTCCATAGAACCTCGTAGACAACTCCGATCCTCCATCAAATCTCGCATAAGAACAAAGCTATCTGAAGCAGATCAAAACATCTCATCCAATTATCCGGACCTTATATTCAAAAGCAACGTTCTGAATTCACTAACCCTTCCTCCAGATATTACAGAAATCCCTACACCATCATTTGAAGAATCAAGGCGAAGAGAAATTAATAGACTATCAGAAAGAGGAACTTTCAAAGTCGTTCATGTCAATAATATCCCGCCTGAAACCAGAATATTCAACACTAGATTTGTGAATGAAATTAAACATTTGGTAACTGAAAAAGCCTTTGAAAAATCTCGATTAGTTGTTCAGGCCTACAACGATGATGGCAAACATACGGTTCTGACCCAGTCACCTACAATCCAACGTTCCAGCCAGAGGCTCGTCCTCGCTCTCGCTGCTATCATGCAAAGGAATGACGTCGGTTTGTATCTACGCGATATTTCCCAGACATATGTTCAGTTAACCACCAATCTAAATCGCAGATTTTACGTTCGTTCCCCCGCTGAAATCAAGTTACCTCCCGGTACTATATGGCAAGTGCTTAAGCCTCTCTATGGGATACCAGAAGCTGGTAACCATTGGTTTAACACATATCAACGGCATCATGTGGACAGACTCGATATGTCCCCTTCAACCTATAATCCTTGCTTACTCCACACTTATGGACCATGTCTTGGAATAGTGGGCCTGCAAACAGATGATACGATGTTCGTAGCCGATAACAGTTTTGCATTCAAAGAATATCAAGCACTCAAAATGCCAAATTCTTAGCTAAGGATCGGGAAAAGCTCACGCCATTATCGCCTCTTAAATTTAATGGGGGAATAGTAACACTAGACAAAGGCTCAATAATTCTAAAACAAGCTCGGCAAACTTCTAACCTGAAGCTCGTCGAAACTTTCAAAGCTGAGCTATCAGGTACCAAGGGAAAAGTACGAAAAGGTGTAACTCCGAAAGATCAATATATTGCTCAACGTGCGCGCGGGGCATACATCGCTAGTATATGTCAACCAGAAGCCTCTTTTGATCTATCTTTTACTGCCCAGGTTGTTAATCCAAAGGAAGAAGATGCAAAACTCCTCAATAAGAGATTAAAATGGCAAATCAACAATTCTGAACGAGGAATAAAATTTGTCAAACTTGATATAAATACTTTGAAGATAATCATCTTCACCGATGCGTCTTTTGCTAAAAACGCAGACCTGACATCTCAAATTGGTAACGTGATAGTACTAGCAGACGACAATAATGATGCTAATATCATTCACTGGTCCTCGGTCAAATGCAAACGTATAACCCGTAGTGTTCTTACCTCTTTACTCTACAGGATGGCGCTAGGATTTGATACTAGCTCCGCTATCAAAACTACCCTCAGTAAAATCCTCAATAGACCAATCCCTCCGATTATTTGCACCCACTCAAAATCCCTCTTCGACTGTCTAGTAAGACTAGGCACAACCCGAGAAAAAAGACTAATGATTGACATTATGTCTCTCAGGCAATCGTACGAACGACGCGAGATTGCAGAAATAAAATGGATTGAAGGTGGCACCAACCCTGCTGACGCAATGACGAAATCGAACGCTTGTTCAGCACTAAAAGATCTTATCGACTCTAATAAAATACATATAAGAGTCACAGAGTGGGTTGACTGGAAATGAAGCTAAATTTTAATAAGAATTTGAAGAGTTGTCAGTGTTGGTACATTTTGGAATTTGGAGTCTTTAATCATATGATGTAATGTTTACGTAATTAGAAATACTTAATATAACTACTTTCATAGCTTAGATAGAAGAAGAACAACCAATTGCAATACAGTCATCGACAGTGCTGTATTTGGAACCCCGGTGATTCCAACATTCTTTAATTCTGTAGAAGCTACTGAGTTTAATTTAAGGATCCGGGAACTGCCCATCCAACCTATCAATCCACACCATCTTTGTCCTCAATCTCTTGATCATATCCTCCACACAGTTCCAAATATGACTACTAAAATGGCCACAGTGAACATAGATTTTGTCGAGTCGTTTGATGGCACGCGGACAGAACGATTTTTCCGCTTACTGCATGACGCGTTCGATGAATCTGGTGTTGAATGGACACCTGCATAATTTGTCAAGGCAATCGACAGAAAGAGTAAAGGCGCAGCGTTAGACTTGCTAGAACGAGACGCGAGATGTTGTCAACTGATGAAAGATGCGAGAGATCCACTAAAGGTTATCTCAATAGAAGATATCAAATACATTGAGCTCCACTTATTGAAGCATTTTCCAGCCAATGAAGTGAAGAAAGTGGTTCCGGATGAACTTGTTGAGGATCTAGCTCAAGATTAGGACGAAAGACTCGAAGCCTACTCTCTTCGGGCGTTCGACATTCTCCTAGCGTTTGATGTGACAGACGGCACAAAAAAGAGTCAAGCGGAGAGCTAAATTTTGAAGAAAGTTATAAATGCTTTTGGTAAGGGATTATATAACAAGATTTTCAGAGATGAAGTTCGCAGCAGTCGTGACTGGTGCACGTGTGATACGCTATCTGTAGCGACTCAGGTCGTTCAAGCAACTAGCAAATCTTGGAAGCGAAAGCAGAAGCAGAGAAAGAAACGACAAGGTTTCGAAAACTTGATATCCCCGAAAGATCGGAGCAAGAAATACTCCCACAACCAGAATATGACGCTTATCGTGTCTCACTCGGGAAGCCGAAGCAGCAAATCCCAAATCCCTACAATTCTGCGAATTCTAGAGCCGTCCGGCTGACTCCACCACTTCAGCAAGCGTTGGCAGAGCACAAATTTCCGGCTCAATATAACATAGCACAAGCTCCATTGAGAAACCAAGAGACTATCACAGAACTAACCCCCAAATGTCAGCAGCTACCAGATCCAAGGACTTCTCGCCATCCCTTGATAAACGGTCAGCAAGTGTACAACGGAGAAACATGTTTGTCAGATTGGAGCGTAGGCGTTTGACATGAAGCGTAATAGGAGGGCGAGAAGAGGTCGGATGGATCGCAAGAGATGACTGAAGGTCTACTGGAGATAACTATGAGAAATTAAAGGTTTTTAAGGTGGGTAATATAAATAGCTAAAAGGTCTAAAGGTTCGAGTGGGTACTAATGGTAATTAAAGGTACAAGAGGTAACTGGAGGTGACTAGAGGTGATCAGAGGTAATCCGAAGGTGGTGGTTGTGACAGAAAACTAAGCGTAGAGAACTTCATATCTACAGACCACGCCATCATATATATACTTGCTTTCCTCCCACTAGCCCATCATAATATAGGCCCTAAACTAGTACCAACATAAAATCTAGAGCCAAGAACTGTTCTGTTGTCATAGCAACATCAGGAGAAGGGTAAAATTATAAACTAAAGTTAGGATGGGAAGGAGAATCCTTACAATGTTGCTACAAGTGTGGCCAATTCGAAGGAGTCGGGATGCATCTAG